AACAAAATTCATTCGATAATAATAAGCGAAAATCTTATTGAAAACTTACCAGTCAATATCGCTTCGAAAATTATACCTGTATAATAATCGAGTCCTCTGGCAAGACTAAGATCAAAAATTATTTTATCCGTCACTTGAAATATTTTACAATACTTGAACAACAATTCAATGGATTCAAGACCATTTACCGCAGATTCGTGTTTCATTAATTCGTTATCTTTCTTTAATTCATATATCAATTCTATTCCACCAGATTGCGACACATAAGTGCCAATTTTATCAGCGCTCGATTCACTCAAACCTTTCTCTTCAACGATCTCTCGTTTTACTTCCGACCACAAATTCTTATCCAATTTATCGATAGACGAGCACACAGCATGAAATTTATCATTTGGAACGCCACAAGCCGCAAATATACCATCCAACAACGATCTATGATTCAATTTGATCGTATAAGGTCCTACATTTAAACACTGTAACGCTTCAGAAATGACGCGAATGCATTCCGCGTCTGGTATCATAGGATCGTATTGTCCAGCTATATCAAAATCCTTATATCGAGAAGAAAAAGAAAAGAAAAATCAATGGCATATTTCTCAATTCGATAAGATGACGATAAGAAGACATTACGCGACGTCTTACATTTCACATCATTAGACTTACACATTGATAGAATTCCCTGTATCTACCCCTTGTCGTGGATGGATTGTCCCTTCGATAAACTTTTGCTATATGATATCTCTTTATGGAAGAGATTTTTCTCATAGCCAGATATCTGGCAAAAGGTACGGTTAAATCATATCTAAGAGCTAAAATTTCTCCACCTTGATCCTTCAAATCGTAGATCAGCTTTGAATCCTCTCCATACTTTTCCGTCAAAACTTCCTAAAAAAGTAGTAATAACGTTTACTTAAAATTAACAATTACAAGTTATAATTTACAATTCTTACGTACTTTCAATTCAAATACAGGAGTATCTATAGTTTCAGCACCGTGTCTTTTGAACACCGTAATTATTTTATCCAATACAGCAAGCCGTAGCGCCATTTGTTCAGGACCATAATCTCTCGTACCTTTAGGCGTTTTAAGAATAAGTTTGGAAGGTATCTCATTCTTGTTTCCCAATTGAGCTTTCAACTCCGATAATTTGGTAACTTCCTCCGCAATCTACGCAAAATCAATAAAAATCAATCAATGCAGATTTAACAAACAAACCTTGAATTATCATTTAAAATGGGACGTATTTAATACGATCTTTCTTTTTTTTTATCGCTGTTCATCAAAGAAAATTTCCTATATAATTTGTCATACCTTTAGCCTCGAAAGCATCGATGCATGGCAATATTTTCGTGCAGGTAGGAAGGCGTTGGTCCACATCGAACACAACATCACAAATGATCCATCGATTTAAAAGAAGAACCAGAATCAAAGAGAAAAGTCCGCCTCAATGTTGATTATTAAACTAGCCGAAAGAACAAAGAGTACCATATAAGTGAGCTAGCAAGCAAATGCTATAAATTACATTGTTCACGCAATATTGTTATTACAAATATGCAAGATCGAATATCGTTTCTCGAGCAAAAAAAAATTTCATAGAGAGACGTTATTCGACGCGTATGTGTCGAAACAAAACCAATTTTATCAAATATATATACGTGTATATATAATATATATATATATATATATATATATTTATATAATTTATAGGTATTTTGCTTGCCAGTGAACAACCGCCTCACCTTTAAATCAATCACATTTTTGTCGAAGAGGCAGAGGTTCCTTAAGCGATCAACTTTTCTCACCAAAGAGGTAATCGACCCTTTCGGCTCGAGAAACGTGTTACGTTCAATTTGGTCGAAGCTTTGAACGTTTGTGAACCATCTTTTCAAATGTGGCCACTTGGAGAGTAGTTGGTCATCGATAAAAGTGACGCAAAAATCAAAAAATTTCGTATCTTTTATGGTAGGAATCCAACCACACACATAACTGACATCCGCAAAATCATGGTTAATGCTTTCTAATTGCGTTTCTAAGATCGAGAAATTCGTTGAATCCTGAAGGATAGAAACTGAATGTACCATAGTCTCTCCGATAGAGGTTAAGTACGCAACAGACAAAAGTTAGAAAATATCGTTCATCACAGAAGAAATAGATACATTTATTCGCGAGAAAAAAATAAAAACGAAAAATTTAAGGATAAATCGATCGTAAAAAAACTATTCGTCACGAATAATAATTAAAACTATAAACGTTTGAATAATTCCCAAATACAAAGAGCCACATGGAGGCAAAAAGCATCGGTTTTACCAGAAGGTATCGTCAGAAGGCTTGAGTCGCATAAAGAAATTCATGAAAAAAAAAAAAGAACAATAATTGTCCGTAACGAAAAAAATAAATAATCAATCATACCTGAACATCGTTGGCTTTGGCAGCTTTGAGTTTTCGTACAAGCTCTTCTTGTTCCTTCACCTGTTCCAACAACTTCCGTTCGATTTCGTCAGCCATAACGCGCGATTCGACCTTTCTCTTTCCAACTCGAAATCCAAACGCTTCACGCAATACGGCATCACTGAACCTTCCAGCAGGTTACATCCAACGATTGTACTCGAATTTACTACGGTCTGCTCACTCAACCGACTTAAAGATCCCGCTCTATTCACGATTTTGACGCGTGTTCGTGAAAGTTATAGGGAAATTTTCTTTAGTTACATCCATATCCATTCTACTTTTCTTACTCTCTTATTTACGAATATACACAAAACGATAAGTAATAGATATCTTTTAAAAAAAAAGGCTGTATCACAATACTTTGAAAAAACGTTTTCTCTTTTCTCATTCCTTTTATTTATTATTCTCTATAATATTTTTGTTTTTTGTTCTTTTTCTTTTTTTAAGATATTTTTCGACTTTTCCTTTTAATATATATTATAATTTTTGATAAACCGTCCAATAGCAAACAACATCGTATTCGATACAGTTCGATACACGACGATAAATAATAACAATTCGACTTAATCAATAATTTTTTGCAATCAAATTTTTAGAATTTTAAAAGATTCAATAAAATATCGAATTTTATCGAATGAATATTAAAATAATAATCATAATAATTTTTGCTACGCGACGAGAAAAAAAATGCACAACGTAACTTACGGGAGGAAACGATAACTTTGCGAATCACTATCTCGTTACGATATATAGATTTCTCAATAAAAAATAAATTCTAATTCTAATTTAACGATTCATGCAATCTTTCTTTCAATATATTTAAACGTTTTTGAAAAAGCATAAATTTCTAAAACGTACAACAAAATATAAACGATCAATAAACGAAAATAACTGGTTAATTATCGCTTCACAATCATTTGCTGTAATATCGATCTCAGTCGATAACTTATCGACGTTATATGATAATTTTCCATACGTATTAGTAGCAAAAATTTCAAAGTATCAACAAATGAAATATCTATCCGTAGCAAGTAAATGCAAATAAATAAAATTATAACAACAATTTTTGAATCATTCACTTTATTCTCATTTTAGATGATTATTAAACGGAATTATTAATGGTATTAAACGGAATGAAATAGTATACGAAAGAAACAAATACGATTATACGGTATTAACAATCTCTCGCTAATCGTGACGTATCAAGTATTAATTTTTGAATATTCGATATGGTGGTGAACGGGTGTATAATCGATATAGAGCGTATCATAGAGATAAGACGTCTAACGAGTTCCGAGAGTAAAAACAAAGTGAAAATTGCGAAACGAATAAACAAGTAAACAAGCAAAGCGTATATTTTACGTTATTCGATTATTTTTTGCATTCACGTTTTATTCGTTTTTTTAATTTTTATTTTTTAAATTCGAATTATCGACTAATAATCGATTAAATAATAATATTTTAATTTTAATTTTTGATATCTTAATATTCGAAATATTCGAAAAAAGAAAAGAAAAAAAATATTTAAATCGAAAATGAAATAAAAGAAAAGAAACGAACGATTCGAAATTTTTTTTTATTCATCGATTTTAATTATTATATTCCTTTTTCTTTTTTAAATCTCATTTATCGACGAAAGGATTATTTTTTTCGTTTCGTTTCGTTCTTTATTTCATCATAT